TATATTAACTGTATTAAAAGATACTTTTAGCTTCTTTCTTTAACTTAACATATACAACTATTAACAACAGAACTGTTAATAAGCTTATTGTTAAAATTTAACATTCTGAACAGAGTGAGTTGTTAGTGCTTAAATGGGAAGACGGAAGGAAGGAAGGAGTAAATATATCAGAACTAGTTCATGGGTTTCTTATGCCTAGGCTTTCCTGTATTTGGAGAAAGGTAAAACATTCTTTAAGTTCCTGTTCTTTTTGTTTGTTTATGGATTTGGGGGTTCAGGGCCACACCAGGCAGTACCTACTCCCAACTCTGTGCTTGGGGGTCGCTCCTGAGGGTGCTCTAGGGAATGTTCCCTCCACCCTGTTTCTATTCTTAAATGTGACTTGTATGTGGCAGAATTTTGCATCTGATGCTATTTCCCCGATGCCCGTCAGTGGCTGCCTAACCTAGCCTTGGGCATTTCCCTGCAAGTGTCTGGGAGGAGAAGCACAGCCCAGAAAGCAAAACTATCGCCCCAGTGTGCTTTTTGTGGCTCCACCGAGTTGTATTTTTCTCTGAAATTTATTTTGTTATGTAAGAATCTGAAGTTTACGTTCACTTACATGGTAATTTTTCCCATTTATTTTAGTGGGGCCAAATGGTCATAATTTCGTAGTGAAGAATAGGATAGGTTTTTTTTTTTTTTAATTTCTAGGAAGGGGATTGAACACCCACTAAACTATGCTGTAAATAATTACTGAAACCAAAGAGAGGGTTGGAGACATGGTTCAGTGGTAAGGCACATACTTGCATGCATGAGACCTGGGTTGAATTCCCGGCATTGCAAATATAAAAAACATAAACAAGAGAGAGAGCTTTTATGTACAACTAATATTTGATATCCATTCTACTATAGATGCAGCATATCACTTGATATCATATCATATCATATCACTAGCTTCCACCTAGTATGCTAGTCAATATCCATATATATTGTAGTTTTATAAAATTAGAGGGCAAAAATGGTTTCTTTCAGGGGACAGGGATATGGCTTAAAGGGACGAAGTACATAATCAACATCTGCAAGGCCCCCAATTCTATTTCTGGTACCACATGAACCTCCAAGGCCCTGTTAGCACCCAAGCTTAAGCATTGCTAGATCCAGAGAACTGATCCAGGTCCTCACTTCTTGTCTCACACTCTACATACCACTTTCTGACCCACGCCCCAACACACACACACACACACACACACACACACACACACACACACTCCTGCATTTCCTACCTCCATGCTGCCGGCATCACTGGGTATGCCCGCATGCTTTTTTAAAAATGTTTTCAATGGCTCCCAGACACTAAATAATATAAGATTGAAGGACTCATTTCTTACAAGTTCATTATTCATTCATCAGAGTGTGGGCAATTCCCATCTGTTGAGCAGCTGAAAGTCAGGCCACAGAGTACAAAGTACACCTGAACATTTTGCAGTTAGCTCAAGATCCAGACTGGCTCATTAAACGTAAGACTTAAAGAAACAGGAACCCGGAGCTCTCCTCTGCATCCTTCTCCACACTGGCCACCTGCATGTTAAGTCGTTCACTGCTTACTACTCTTGTAGGAGCTGCAGTGACTAATTCTGGGTGTGCAGCAGCTGTGACCAATAGCCTCTCACTGCACTGCCAGTGCCAAGTGCTAGTTTTGTCCCAGGAAACTTATGAATGTAGGCGTCCTATATTAATACTTCAGTTTTTATGTCTAGTTTTTCATTCCTTAGTTTTGTAAATACTAGCCCTGCAATACACTTTGATAATTTTTAAAAAACTTTGTTGTACATTATGATTTTGTATTTCACATTCATTTTTTAAAAGTTTTAGAAAAATATGCTTCATAGGTGCCACCTAGAGAGTGTTTAGGTTCTTTGAATCTTGTGTCTACTACTGGGTATATCTCTACTTGGACTTCCAAGCATCACAGATTTGTAAACTGAGAAGATTGGATGTGGAATCCATTTTAAGCGTTTATTTTATAATTTCTTGGGGAAATTAACAGTTATGCTAAGAAAAATTATTGGAATGGGTGGAGATACCCTTGTGCTCTTAGAGGAAAAGATGAACAGATTTTTTATTTTTGATGGGGGTGGGTGGGAATAGGAAGTGATGTCTATTTGCAACATTTAAATAAACCCTAGAGTCTATTATAATTACTGTAGACAAGTCACAGCGTGTACCAAATTGGTGCCCCTTTTCTTTTTGGGATGGGAAAGGTACACCCAGAAGTCAGGGTTTATTCCTGCCTCTGAACACAGAGATAAATAACTCTTGGCAGGTTGGTGGGTAAGGGGGAACATACGTGATACTGGAGATCAACTCCCGGTTGGCTGCATGCAAGGCAAGCATCTTACTTGCTGAACTATCATTCCAGCCTCCAGTGTCCCCTTTCTTGACTAACATCTACCCAGAACACTTTAGTAATTTCTATATTTCCTAAACCGTATAATTTATATGCTTGTGTTATGTCTCATATAGGCTTTAGATCTTCTATATCTAACATTTGATCCCTACTCCACAAAACATTCTCCAGTTCCTACACCTCCACCCCAGTACTATTGCAATTATCCCATGTTCTTCCTGATTCAATCTTGTCTTATCCTGAAATCTGTTTTCCAAAAGTTCAGAATTTTGTCTCTTTCTTGCCTGTATTCTGATACTCACAAGCCATTGCCCACCAGGTGAATTCTGAGCTTCTTAGGAAGATTTTCAAGGCTCTCACTGCTTCTTCATTATTGTTCTGGTCACTCACTTAACGTGTATGTCCTTAGAATCCCAACTCAGTTTCTTCCATCAAAATTAAGGAAATGGATAAATGTCCTTGTTAATGTTTTCTTTGCCTGATAAATTCTTGCTTAATCTTTCCCTTCAAAATACCATCTGTTTCTTGAAGCTCTCACCCAGTAGAAAGATTCTGCCTATAGTGAGAAAAAAAACATAATGGACTACCTCTATGGTATTCAGTTATTTTATGTGATATGTGGTTTATAGGTCAATTAACTTTATCTGGAAAGGGCCAGATAAATATTTTAGACTTTGTGAACTATGTAGTTTTTATCAGAACTTTAACTCTACAGTTATAGTAAGAAAGTAGCTACAGACAATAAGCAAACAAATTAGTGTGATTGTATCCCAATGAAACAGTGTTTATAAAGATAGGTAATTTGGGACTACAGCTTTTCAACTCCCTGGATCACTTGAAGACTTGTTTCCATGAAGGAAGGTTAGTAAAATTCAGGTCCAAAAGCATTTTTCAAGCAATTTCTTCCCAGAGAGTGATCTTTGTAATTAGACATGGTCCCAAGTTAAACACTTTGGAGGATACTTGTACTATACCTTATCAAAATGTTTCATCAGAGGCACAAGCTGAGGGAATAGATTATGTAAAAAGTCATTTGCTTTACTGACAACTCTTAAACTCAGCACATCAGAAGTTTTATCCCAGTGGAAACAAAACTGTGTCTGCTGTCCTTTCATTTAATAATGAGAACTACAAACACGCCGGTGCTCTTCACCAGTACTCTGATTTGTAGGAAATAATCCTCAACACTGATGTTTGGGTGCAAATAATAGTCTTCCAGGTATAATCTGAAGCTGGTCCCCAGGTGAAGAAGAATAAAAAAAACAGAAACTACTTACTAGTTCTAGATTAGTAGGTAGCTTTATTTATTTGCTTGTTTGTGGCTTTGGAGTCACTCCTGGTCTACTCTCAATGTAGGGGGATAATTGCTGGCATGATTGGGGTATCACAGAGTTCCAAGGACCAAACCCAGTCCCCCTGTGTGCAAGACATGCACTCCAGCCTTCTGAGTTATCTCTCCAGCATTAGGTAGCAGTTTTAAAATACAAGGAAACTTATTTAACGAACATAATCATGTTGACTTCAAGAAAAGCAAGTTTTTGCATCTTGCCGATAAATCTCAAAGTAGATGCTGGAACCAGGGAGCTTGCTCAAAAGGGCTAAAGCATGTTCCTACATGAGGTGTCCCAAGTTCAGTTGCTGGCAAATGAGCACCAAGAGTGACCTCCTTTTCTTTTCTTTTCTTTACTTTACTTTTCTTTCCCTTTTTTTTGAATCACTATGAGATACAGTTATAAGCTTTCATGTTTGAGTTACAATCACACAATGATCAAACACCGATTCCTCCATCAGTGCACATTCCCCACCACCAATATCCCCAGTATACCTCCCTTTTCCCACCCTCCCACTGCCTCAAAAAGTAGAGAGAGAGACAGAGAGACAGAGAGACAGAGAGACAGAGAGAGAGAGAGTACATGACCTTCAGTTCTAAGTCAGGAATAGCCCCCAAGTACTGCCAGGTGGCATCCCAGAACAAAAATGTTTTATAGCTGCTTTAACTATTTTGTCACATGAACAACCCAACACACCCAGACCCCCACGGAAAGCTGTATGTTTGGAACAGTTTCTGGGAATATGTGTTCTCAGGTGAGTCGCCTGAGAAGCCTCAGGTTGCCTGGGGTTCCATGGGTAAGTTCATTCAGTCATATTCTTTTGTTTGACTTCAACAGATGACTTTTAGGCAGTACAATCAGTGTGTATTGAGTCACTGCCATTTCATTTCTTTATAAATTGAAAGGGCTGGAGCGATAGCACAGTGGGTAGGACATTTGCCTTACATGCTGCCGACCGGGCTGACCCGAGTTCAATTCCTCCTCCCCTCTCGGAGAGCCCAGCAAGCTACAGAGAGTCTCTCGCCTGCACAGCAAAGCCTGGCAAGCTCCCCGTGAATTTACATATTCAATATGCAAAACACAGTAACAAGTCTCACGATGGAGACGTTACTGGGCCTGCTCGAGCAAATTGATGAACGGAAGGACAGTGCAGTGCTATAAATTGAAAACAATACTACTGGGTTAGTTTTTGTTTTTGTCTTATTACTGTTTAAGAGCCTAAAACTGATTTGGTTATAACAGAATGCAATATTTTCTTTCTTTTCTCTCTCTTTTTTTAGGGACCAGCTTGATTCTTTATTGAAGAATTATAATACTTTTTATGAAAATCAAAAAAATCTTCAGATTTTATATGGACAGGTAAGCCCATGAAATAAATGCAATACAGTTTTATTTACAGGGGAGAAAAATTTATCAAAGTACACCATACTTGGGATGAGTTGTAATTTGGAGAAAAGAAAACACTTAAAAATAATTGTAGGGGTGCGCATATGCTGCCTGAGCCCATGTGCTGCTTGTGCCCACGTGGCCGAGCACATGAGGTGCCCGAGCACATGTGTCGCCCGCATCTACCCTCTTGAGATGTGTACTTTCATGCTTTTCTGTCTAATGCTAGGATGTGTATAGGGGCTCTCTCCACCCTTGGAGAAGCCCGTGTTCTCTCGAGTACGTTACTCTCTCACTCTCTTTCCCTCCATACCTATAAATCCTCCAAATAAAATCTATTTACTTAAAATAATAAAAATAATTGTAGGCGGCCAGAGCAATGACACAGCAGTGACATGTACAGGCTGACTCGGGTTGATCACGGGCATCCCAGATGGTTCCCCAAGCCCAGCAGGAGTAATTCCTGAGTTCAGAGGCAGGAGTAATCCCTGCATCCTGCTGGATGTGGTCCCCAAAAAACGAACAAAAATTATAATGACTCATTTGCTTTCTGCTTTCTTAAAAGTCCACAAATATCTTTTTAGTAGCAGATTCACTTGAAACTTATCCCAATATTTTCTTATAATGCACTGGAATGCATATAGGAGGAGGTGATGCTCGTATCATTTGTAATGGAGAAATTTAAAGATATCTCGTGTCTCTACCAGAGGAAAATTGTTCAAATTTGATTTGTCTATAGCACAGTTTGATTTGTTAAAATGAATGAGTTTCATTTCAATTAATGTTTACTATATCATGATAACAAATTTTATTATTATTATTATTATTATTATTTGCTTATTTTGGGTCACACCCAGAGATGCACAGGGGTTACTCCTGGCTCTGCACTCAGGAATTACTCTTGGCAGTGCTCATGGGACCATATTGGATGCTGGGAATCGAACCCGGGTTGGTCACTTGCAATGCAAATACCAAACCCACTGTGCTATTGCTCCAGCCCCTCCATCACTTGATCACTTGAGTTCCCGTTAATCGTCGATTTGCTCGAGCGGACTCCAGTCACGTCTCCATTTGTCCTGTCGCGTGCTAGTGTAGCCCAATGGTGTCTGTTCATTCTAGGAACACGAAGAGCCTCAAACCGATCGTTCATGATCTTGATGAAGAAGTCTGACCATCTGGTAGGTGGGCGGCCACGTGGTCTTTTGACATCCCGTGGAATCCAGTCGGTAACGGCTCTAGTCCAGCAGTCGTCTCTAAATTTCATTACGTGACCAGCCCATTTGATTGCTCCAGCCCCATCATAACAAATTTTAAGGTGTCAATGAAACAACTTAGAAAAGTCCTGGAATTATTTTTTTTCTGTTTTTAGGTGTATATACTTTCATTCTTTCATTTTTTATTTTAATAAGAAGAGTCACCTAGGCACCAGTTGGAGGTTCCCTCCCACCCCAAAATAATGCTACGATGAACATGAGGATACATATATATCATGTGTCTTTGTGTGTGTGTGTGTGTGTGTGTGTGTGTGTGTGTGTGTGTTGCCAGGGATCAAACTCAGGGCCTTATACATATGGGTACTATAATACCTAGCCTCATGCCCAGCCATTTTCTTTCCCTTTGATTTTATTTTTTTATGTAACTCTTTGAAGTAGTGTTTTTTAATTTTCAGATAAATACCCAGAAGTGGGATAACTGAATCATTTGGAATTTCAATTTAAATTCTTATCAGGAGCTCTTCCTCGAGACTCTGGGCCATCCAGATGGTGATTCAATTCAAGGGCAAGAGGATAGAGTGATGCTTGGGCGCTGGTGCTGGCGATCATCTGGACCACCCTGGAAGTGCTCAGGGGGCCCCTGTTTTAAATTCTTTGAGGAATGTTCATACCACTTTCCGTAGTGGCTATTAAGAACTGCCAACAGAGTACAAGGGTTCTAATCCCTCCACATCTTCTCCAACTGTTATTTCTTGTTTGTTGGACAAATATCCTTCTTGCAGGTCTGAGATGATATCTTATTGTGTGGTTTTCATTTGCATTTCCCTTTTATGTGAAGCTATGTAGTATTTCTAGCACCATTTATTAAACAGGCTTTGCTTGCTCTATTGGTTGCTCTTGGCTCCTTTGTTGTAAATCAGTTGACCATATGCATGTGGACTTTTTCCCAGGCTTTCAATTCTGGTTTCTTTATTTGCCCAATTTTCCATTAGGAAAATAACACTTGCTTTCATAAGAGAAAAAGACCTTCACATATGACAGAGAAAAATTGATTAGAAAATAAGGTCTATAGGAGAATGCTTTGCTATTAATATTTATAGTCATAGAATAAGTATTTAATATGTTTAATAATTTTGCTTTGTCTGAAATCTTCCTTTGTCATAATGTTTATAAAAGTTATCAAATATTATTGACATTTTAAAAACTATTATTTACATTTCATACTGTGTTCTCACATGTCATTTCATTACTCCTACCTAATATACTTTCCTCCTACCTACATACTACCTAATAATTTTATGAGCTAATTTTTTTCCTATTTAAAAATGAGAAAAGTCAGGAAATCCTTCAATAGGTGTTCTTCTAATTTTGAAGTTTCATCTTTAATCCTACTTTAATATTAAAGTTAAACAGAATTAGAGAATTGAACTTACACTTAATTGAAAAATTACACTGTTAAGAGATCATATCTGTCTCCATTGCCTCACTGGAGTGTAGTGTGAAACTTTGCTGATTACAAATATTTTCAAGAAACAAAAAACATGGTTCAAAAGTAGAATTGTTTTGTGGATAAATTGAAAAATTAATGATCTAAACTGGAGTTTAATATATATTGATATGTCTTACAGACTAACTTTCATCTTTAATTGCAGTTAACACATTTACCTTTATTAATTAATACAAAAACAATGCAATTTTGAAACCCAGCACTGCAAGATGTTTTGACCACCAACCAGGAACAACCCAAGAGTGTAGAACTGAGTGTCGCCCCCAACAGTGCTAACTGTGACATGGCCCTTTCAAAAATTATGAAGCAATGATCAAGACTACTGATTTCTTTCCTAGACTGAAGATGATAACCTAGTTGTTGAAGGAATGCTGGACATTTCTTGGGGAGTAAAACGGCCTATTCAGCTGAAAATACAAGATGAGAAGCAAATCCCTATGTTGAAGTCACCAGATGTCTTTTGCAAAGGGTAAGCATATCTTTCATGATTTTTATACAATGATATTCATGTTCTTCTCTCTCTTTTTTATATGCACTCTCAAGATGGGAGCACTACTAAGTGAATATACTTGATCTCATTTAATCTCCCGGTAAGCCTCGGAAGAAGGGCTCTGAGAAATTCGGGACTTTATGCAAGATCTCCAGCTCACATTGTCAGAACTGAACTGAGGATCACATATTGGGTTCCAGAGCCTATAGTGTTCTTGACTTCTCTCTGCTTTACTGTTTCTCTATTCCTCTGTACTCTGACACAGGAAGACAACATTTCTGTTAGAAGAGACAATCAAAATGCAAGAATTTACTAGTCCTATCCTGATCATCAGAAAGAAGGGATAAAATTGCAATTTCTTCACTCTTTAGATGTGGGAAAATAATGAAACCAGAATTGAAAACCTTGAATGCTGCTTTTTAAAGACTTACTTTCCTAATTGCCATGATTCTGTGAAGTAGGGCACAGAAAATGACAATTTAAGCTCCATAAATGCACACAACTGTTTTCTCTGAGGTTGAGTTCATTTTGTTTCATTATTCTTCACAATTTTTAGAAAACGTAACAAAATTCAAAGCAGAAATAAAACTTTTGGTTTTAGTTTTCACCTTCACTTTTTTTCTACTCGAATCCTTATTTTTCCAACTCCTCTTGGTTTTATTTATATGTAAGGATACCAAGTTTTCTCCTTGTCTGTTCTCCCATTCATAACTCGATATTGTGGGGTTCTGAATTTGAGCAGAGGATAGAATAAAGAGAGAGTGCCCAGAATTGTTTCCCAACTTTGACAATCTCCAAGGAAAATCAGCTATCAGTTTGAATAAAGTTTGACCTTTCCTTCAGTAAATCATTGAAGCACCACGGTGCCTTGTACCTGGTCAATCTTTCTCAAGCGTTGTGGGCAACAATGCTGATATTTTGCAGTTCTCTGTGCATATGATTCAGTTCCTTACTTCATTTATGTTTTCTTGACAATCTATCTGATTCTTGACTTTTATTTTGTTCACTCTCATACTAGTCCATCAAAAGTTGGGTTAAGTAACATGCTCTCCAGTAAACCTAAACATAAGCTACTCACAACTCTTCTTTATCTCTAACAGAGTACTTACCTAATCACATAAATGTGTTAAATCATTTTTACTCTATTGTGACAACACTCTTTCCATCATCTACTACTTTTGACCATATCCCAAAAGGGACTCCCATACAGATGCCTACATCTTGGTTGACTTAACTTCATCCAAGTTAAAGAATACTGATGACTTAAGTGTGTTCCAGGACATATGAAAGAGGAAATCACAAACTTAGGCAGCCTAATAAAGCCCCGTGTCTCTCACCTTCAGTGCTAGTTGACTAATGGAATGATGATTCAAAGTGCTGAGAGTATCATTTAAAAGTATAAATTACATAGTATTCCATTGTGTAGATGTACCACAGTTTCTTTAACCAGTCATCTGTTTTTGGACACTCGGGCTTTTTCCAGATTCTGGCTATTGTAAACAGTGCTGCAATGAAAAAACAAGTGCAGATGTCACTTCGACTATACTTTTTTGCATCTCTGGGATATATTCCCAGGAGTGGTATTGCTGGGTCAAATGGGAGCAGCTGTTAGAAAAGATGAAGTCATGAAGGTTCTACATGGAAAGTGAACTGTCCTCCCATTGTTCATCGATTTGCTCGAGCAGGTCCAGTAACATCTCCATTGTGAGACTTGTTGTTACTGTGTTTGGCATATCGAATGCGCCACAGGGAGCTGCCATGTGGGCGAGATACTCTCAGTAGCTTGTCAGGCTCTCCAAGAGGGGCAGAGGAATCGAACCTGGCTTGGCCAGGCCAGCTGCGTGCAAGACAAACGCCCTACCGCTGTGCTGAATGAATCAGAAAGAAAGGGACAGACATAGAAAGATTGCATTCATTTGTGAAATATAAAGTAACAGAATAGGAGACTAACACCCAAGAATAGTTGAGATAAGTACCAGGTGATTCACTTTATGGCTTCGAGGCCAGCTGTACATGCTGGGGGAAAAGGCAGCTCAGATAGAGAAGAGAACACCAAGTAAAGGGTGTGGGGAGGATCTGCCCAGGATGGGAGATGAGTGCTGAAAGTAGTCTATAGACCGAACATGATTGCCACTCAATACCTCTGTTTCAAACCATAACACCCAAAAGGAGAGAGAGAACAAAAGGGAATGGCCTGCCACAGAGGCAGGGTGGGATGGTGGGAGGGATACTGGGATCAGTATCCCTCAGTATCAGTATTCTGGTGGTGAATGGGCACTGTTGGAGAGATGGGTACTCGATCATTGTATAACTGAAACCCAAGCACAAAAATTTGTAAGTCTACAACTGTACCTCATGGTGTTTCTCTAATAAAATTTTTTAAAAAAATAAATTACACAGGTCCTGTTTTTTTAAAATTATACAATATATGAGTTTACCAAACTTCCTGTCCTTCGTATTATTTATGAACTCACTGCAAAGTTTTTTGAATAGTCAGTTGCTTTTGATGCGTCTTAATTATTTGGATAAAAAAGCCTGATAAATATGGAACAGTATGAGATGTTAAGAGATGCATAAAGGTCTTATATAATTACATAAATTCATAATTATTTGAATGGCTATTCCAAGATATTCTTCATTTTCCCAATTTAAAATTCAAATCACCTGTTCTTTGAAATCCTCATTTGAATTTCAAGAGACCAGGTGGGCAAGGTAATACTGATACCTTTCCATATATAGAATAGATTATAAATTAACATCATCACGATACACATTCTATAGAATCAGTTTGTTATTTATCACAACATCATTGTAAATAAAACAATAATTGTCCTTTAAAGTAATAAAGACTATCATAGTAAACTTTGCTTGCCTTTTAACACAGTAATAAGAGCTAATAAGAAAGCGTTTAAAGTGCCCACTTACAGTGTACCAGGTATTTCTGATATTAAGAATTGCCAGAAACAGTCCCTCTCCTCCCTCCCCACCTGCTACCCCCTTCTGACAAGGTGTGATTCAATTTTGATTAAATAATTCTTTGTGGAAACAGCTAAAAATTTCAGCAGAAAGATGGAATATCATCACGTTTGCCTCTTCTTTTGGTTCCTTGTAGCGTTCATAGTCAGCTAAAGTATAATTCTTTGTCTCAGTACAATCGTACACAGTTATTCTGGTTGCCAACTGTTTTGTTTGATGCTTGATTTTTGTTTATGAGCACATCAGGGAATGCTCATAGGTTAGTCCTGGCTCTGGACTCAGGAATCACTCCTGACTGTGCTCAGGAGACAATATGGGATGCCGGGGACGGAACCCCAGCTCAGTTGTATGCAAGGCAAAGTGCCCTGCCCATTGTCACTGCAGTCCATTTGGTTTGCCATCTTTAAAGTTATATAAATGCTGAGCCTGATATAAAATTGAATAACAAATAAATTATCCCCTCACCTTACAAAGTGCTTCACGTTGCCTTTCCTATAATGGGTTTCTGTGGGCGGGCCTTACTCTTACGCTCTCTTGGGATTACAGACTTCATGTCTGTTGACTACGTTAAGTAAAGGATGTGGTAACTGTGTGCTCAGCTGCATAAGACATGCAATGTTGTGTTTTTGGTTCTCCTTTGAGGAAATCATTATCCTATCCTGCAAGATTTTTTTAAAAAATTATTATCATTGAAGTGAGTCATAGTGAGTCAACTTAATGGGCTCGAGAGAATCTTAACAGAGTCAGTTTGATCTTTGCCCGCTTGTGAGCATTTAGGTCACCAATGTTATGGGCATTACTTTGATCTCTCATATATGATCTTTGTATTTTGTTTTGGAAAATTTTTTTAAAAAAATTTATTGAGGTTCTGTTTGCTTGCCCCAGACTAGTTTTTCTTTCTGTTTATAATGTCTTTCGAAAGTCAACTTTGGCCATGTTTCAGCCAGTGGCAGAAGAGCAGGGATGGAAAGGTGTACATTTGAATTAACATCAATAGTGTTTTCCGTCTAACAATATAGGTAGGTAAATAACTATCTTCTATTTGTCTATCAAATTTCTACTTCCTTTATATTTTGCAATTCATTAGAAAGCCTTCCCTCTGAGTAAATGGTAAACCAATTTGTGTAAATGCTAATGGTACATGTCCTAAAACTTGGTCAGGGAAACACAAACAATTCCATGCTTGAACACATTAAACTAATTGACATTTCTGTAGTTCAGGCCAGTTTTCTTTTGAAAATTATTGGTACCCATCTTTATGCTTTGTTATGTGCATAGTTGTGTATGGTAACACTTCGAATCACACAATATAGAACTAAAAATTGGTGTTTTCTGATAAGATCCTAGGAAGATTTCAGACGCTGCATATATCGAGTAATGTTTGTTTCCCTGTATTTGCATAATACAACTAAATAGTCAGATTACGAGGACAGATGTCAAGTCTGGTAGGCTTATTATTAAATTATATTACCTGCCTGGCATTCTTGAGCATACTTTTCCATATGAAAAAGCAGTAGATGTCTGTTTTTTTTTGTTTGTATTCTATCTTTTCCATTGCTAATTCTCTTCCTATGATAAATTTAACTGTCTCCATTGGTTAATCGCCTATAGTTTGGGGGAAAAGATGTTTTATCTGCTAAGAATAATTAAATTAGGGATCTGAAGAAATTGTACAGGGGTTAAAGTGCATGCTTTTACACACAGCTACCCTGGGTTTGATCCTGGCATCACATATGGTCCCCTGAATGATCCCTGAATATAGAGACAGGAGTAAGACCTAAGCTCTGCTAGATATGACCCACACACCCTCCTACCCCGCCTCAAAACAAAAGAATAATTAAATTCTGAGCCAGGACCTGAATTATTCTCTGTTGTGTTACATTTATATTTACTTTGATAGCTGTGCTCTATATAGCAGAGATTACTAAAAATTTAATGAATACATATGTTAGGGTGATTTTATCCACTTAAAAAACCTGTCACAAGCTTAAAATGATATAAAGTTGTGGAAAAGATTTAAAAGAATTTAGTGATCCAGGAAGTAAAGAATCCTGTCTATTCATATTCATTTTCACTCCTATTAGTGATTATTTTTGTTGCTATCACTAGTGACATTTGAGTCGTGTTGAAACCAAAAATCCCCTATGGACAAAATATTTTTAGTCATAAGAGAAACAGATTATGTAAAGACACATTAAAGTATAGAACTGATTTTAGCAATAATATCACCAATTAATCTAGAGAGATCAGGAATATACTGGATTCCTAATGGTTCCTGGCACACCATAATATCTATACAAATGATGGTGATTACTGTCTCAGAAACTATGCTTTAACCACAACAGTTTGCCAAAGAGAAACTCAATATATGTTGCTAGAATGAGCATTTTTGTATCCATTTTTGTGAGATGTCTATGCAAAAATGGATTATGTTGGTCACTGTTAATATCATTTTGCACATTTCGTAGAACCTCTATAACCTTCTGCTTCCATTTCTGACTGAAATTTTGTGTCAAGATGCTCAAAACAAATACAGGCACTGTAGCACTGTCCTCCCGTTGTTCATCGATTTGCTCGAGCAGGCCCAGTAACATCTCCATTGTGAGACTTGTTGTTACTGTGTTTGGCATATCGAATACGTCACAGGGAGCTTGCTAGTCTTTGCCGTGTGGGCGAGATACTCTCGGTGGCTCTCCGGGCTCTCCTAGAGGGGCCAAGGAATCGAACCCAGCTCGGCCGGGCTAGACGTGTGCAAGGCAAACGCCCTACTGCTGTGCTATTGCTCCAGCCCTACAAATACAGGAAGTATTTAAAATAAATACTGAAAGTTAATGTAAAAACTATTTTAATTACTATCATTTAAGATGTTCAAGGTACCTATTGAAGTGAAAGTCATTGATTCTAATACTGAAATATGAAAAAAAATCATTTGGATGCTCATCACAGATAGAATTGCTGTGATAAGATTTATTATTTTTCAGAAGAATGACACGCTGGGGAGAATTTGATGACCTGTATCATATTAGTGAGCTGGACAGGAACCAGATTCCAGAGCCCGAAGCAATGAGTTCTGGGGAAGGTTTGTATGAAACTTTTATTAATGGAAAAAAAGACTCTTCTTAAAATTACTGTGAATCATAACTCCTACATTTTTCTCTGAAATATAATATTATAGATTGATAATTAATACTAACTTTATATGTTGAAAAATTCCCTTAAAAACATATAAATAGTACTGCAGGGATAATATGATGTTTAAGAACTTTCCTTCAAAACTATGATTTATTTAAATTATATCAAGTTGCTTAGATTTATTAAAGTTAATGATTTGAATAAAATGTTCATGCATAAAATCAACAATTTCCTGAAGGATTAGAATTACTTTACTCAATACTTTCTTATGCTAGACCAAGACTCTCAGACTCAATTGTGCATTTTATTTTTTGTTCATTTTAAGCGAAGCAAGACTTTTTAGGCAGGGTGAATCATTTTTTATTTAGCTAAATTGTTATATAATTATAGGCGATTCTTTATCATAATTCAAGTTTTCAAACATTGCACAAGGGCCAAAGAGCAAATTTTACAAATAGCCTTTTTTCCCCTACTGAGAGCCCAGCACATAAAATGTTTTCAAAATGTATTCAAAATTATACTAAATGAGCCAAACACTTTAATGGAACAATGTTAACAATAATAAGTAAAACAATAATAAGTAAAATAAACCCAACTTTCAAACCTCATATAATGTCATACAACTATACTACCAGGTACATATATATATATACGCATGTACATATTAATCTAGTAAATGTTTCTGTAGATGTTAGTACTGTATTATGGATAGTTTTTGGTACTGCAGATACAAAGATTGGTATTAACAACTTCAGTTGTATCACGTTTCTTCAAAAAGAGAAATCTATGTGAACATTGCATGAATTCGTATAGAATTTGACAAACTAATATCTTCCATGGCATGTGACATAAAGAACCAAGCAGTAAATGATCCAGGTTTATAATCCTTATTCTTTCCAGATTATTTACCTTATCACAGCAACACTCTGAAGCCTCATGCAACGGAAGAGCCAGAATCCCCCTTGCTCTATCGGACCATGAGTGAAGCAGCACTGGTGAGGAAAAGGATGAAGCCTCCGTTGACGGACAGAAAAGACAGGCAGAACCACAGAGCTTCCATTAATGGACACTTTTACAACCACAGAGTCAGTATGAGTTTCTATGATCATTTTGAACATTGTCTTGTGCTAAGGATACTGCTCTCTTAAACTGCAGTTAAAGCTAGTAATTGTAGTAGGACGAGTCTCTCTAATAGTTATTGAGTGCTCTTTGGGGGTGTTTTTAGACCAATTTTTGATTCATGTCTCATTAATTACTAAAATAATCCATGAAGTAGCTATCTTTGCCCCTGTATTATGGTCTGAATTCAAATTCACATTTGTCTGACTCCAGAACCCAACTCTAAACTATCATTGAGTGAATTTTCTCTGGCAGGGCCTGCACTAAGCACAGGAAAAATAAAGATATGGAGCTCAGAGCTTAGGCAAAGAAACCAATGCATCAACAAATGTCTTTAAAATATTATTTTTACCATTGGTTCAAAGTGCCTTTAATATCAATATTTAAATCAAAATAAAAAGCTGCAGACCTATTAATTCCAGTAAATTAATTTTCCCATTTTATAATATTTTCTTTTAGTTTTTGAACTAATAAATATATTTTTATAGAACTATGATTGTATGGTAGATATAATTTTTTATAAAATGACATCATATTTATTATAAGAAATTTGTAATTTATTTACAGTAGTAGATATTACAAGTTCTTTTTCATAACATCTCTAAGTTATTTTACTTTGCTGAAATACCATTTTCAGAGCTGAAAAATCATTTATTTCTAGAACTCTATGGTTTTCTTGTAAGTACATGAGTAGTCCTTCACCCATTCATTTAATAAACATGTAAAAGACTTACTCTTCCCAAATACCATCCTAAGACCTTTAATCCAAAGTATAAAATAGAAGTTCTTTTAATATACCTTTCAACAATGGTGGGAATAAACATCTCTTCTGAATTACTTGTTAAAATTAGACATTTTTCTAGCACAAAAATTTTCTCCTGAACATAAAGTAACACTGACAATGCTACACAGATTTTCCACTGCCAATTGTTCTAGTTTCTTCTCAGAATTGACAAGATATGTCATTGTCTTGTGGGGAGTTTTGTGTCACAGAAGATTATGAGAGCTACATTGTTCCGAAGGAGAAGTTTTGAGATGGTATCCTAGGCTAAGAAGGAAATTGGCACAAAGTCAGTAGTGAAGAACAGCAGTTAAAAGGTTAAGTGCTTGAAGGTTGCAGCTTGACAATCTGATTCAAATTCTTGCTGAGCAAAGTTTAAAAATTTTTATATTGGGGAAAAGGTGACTTGTTATTTTTGTTGTTTTTGTCATGCCAGGAATAAATATAGGTCTTCTACAGGCAAAAGTTCTATAAGTGACCTACATCTCCAACACCTTAGTTAATCTTTTAATCTTTGCTCATTCATTTTTCCTACAGTATAAGGTTGTTGGTGGGATTAAAATCAAGTAAACCCTTAGCAACATTCCTGGCAAAAAGGAAGAACTCAATTTACCATAGTTTTATTGTCGATTCGGAGAGCCCGGCAAGCTACCGAGAGTATTCGATATGCCAGACACAGTAACAACAAAGTCTCCAATGGAGACGTTATTGGGCCCGCTCGAGCAAATCGACGATCAACGGGAGGGCCTTTACTTTACTTTTTTTTTACTTTATTGTCGATTGAAAGAGATTAAGCTGTGACTATAGATATTTCAGATGTAATTCACTGCAATTTAATAACTAGTAAAAAGCAAAACAAAGAAAAGCCCAATACCTCAATACTCAATCAATGGGAATGTAATGATGGGCATGTGTAAATGTATGCTGATACGGTCAGAAGGTACATTTCTATTTCATTAAAACCCATGATAGCTATATTGTTAGCTGTGGATAACATTAACATTAGAGAAATTTTAATCACTGTAGATAAGCACTATAGCACTGTCCTCCCATTGTTCATCGATTTGCTCAGGAGAGCCCAGTAACATCTCCATTGTGAGACTTGTTGTTACTGTGTTTGGCACATTGAATACGTCAGGGGTAGCTTGCCAGGCTTTACCGTGCAGGCAAGATACTCTTGGTAGCTTGCTGGGCTCTCCGAGATAAGATATGAATATAACTTGACCTGTAGTATGTTTAAAAATATAAAATAGTACATAATTTTATAAGTCATATTATGTGTTTTGATCAACAAAGTTTACATAAAACATGATTTGAGAGCTGGGGAGGAGTTAAGGCATGTTCTGGACATACAGTCATACTGCCAGTCTTACATAGATATGTCACTGCCAATGTCCAATTGTCCTGGTTTCCTGAACCCAGTACAATCCCTGGTATCACGTGGTCCCCTGCGCATTTCCACCTGTAACTGTGAAGCCCCCTAAGGAGTTCAGCACGCCATTCTCAGGCCTAGCTTTGAACTGTCAAGCTCAGTTGGCTGAGAATTGTTGGGAGTGTCCTCTGGATCCCTGAGATCCTCTTGTAATTTCCCCTCGGGAATATGCTTTTAAAATAAAACTAAAAAATTATGATCCTAGATGAATTGTATGTTGACTCTTTAGAATAGGTCTTGGCTGTCATCTATTTCTAGTTATACTTTTCATAGGAGAAAATGTTGAGACTTCTTCATTTTTCAATGCTAAATTAACAAAGTTGGAGTTCATAAATACTAATGTAGATTTGCTGAATCCTAATCTAGTGCTATTTCTGAATACCATGAGTGTTCTTTATATAAATAGCAACAAAACATATATTTAAGACACCCTGGCTTTAGTGAAGGATTAACCTATAAATCCTCAGGTCTCCAGAGAACATTTTTGTTTAATTAAGGTATTTCTTGAGGATTGCTAAATGTGACAGAGTAGCTTACTCAAGCTTTTCAATTTCCACAAGCATTGGATTTTCCTATTTTTACATTAAAATAACTGAAAAAATTCATTCCAGATCACACAAATGCTATGCCGATACATACTCATATATAGTCACCATTCTGCCAATAAAGCATTCATCTAATATTCTGTTGAGCCCGCCCCCCAAAAAAACTACCCACCTACACGTCGTCTGAACCCACCCATTTCTAGTTTTGAAGTCCTTGGAGATCAAACATAAAATGAAAATTAATCCACTTAGTGACCTTTTTATTTTAAGATACACATTCCAATTACATGCTTTTTGCTCCTTAATAAAGGAGAATTTTTTTTTTGCTTTTCTCATGTCCTGAATGACATGTTGTCATATTTCCTTTAAGAAAGGTGCCATGGTTACACAAATGCCATCAATGGCCTAAGTTGTGAGTTTCTTCTACTCATTGTTATTTTTTAATTTTAATATACATCATTGTATCAAAGATTTTAAAGTTAATGTTGTCCACTTATAGTGTCATAAGGATAAAATTGGTATTTATAAAGCAAGTATATTTTGGCACTGAATAGCTATGTTAAATCAATAATTATTTGAGAAGTCTATCTTATTCTTTGGAATAATATCATTACTCTAAGGAATTAAAATAACCACTAAATTACTTACATATTAAATTCCCTAAATAGATATATTAGTCATTGTGTAAACACACACATCATTTTTCTTTTATTTGAGATTACACTGATTTATGTCAGTAAGTTTCAAAAATGTTTTTCACACCACCTCAGAAGAACATTACCCCACTATGCCCATCACCAGAGCACCAATATCTCTCTTCCGTGGAACATTGAACATTCCATCCTTGGAGTTTCTTTCCTACATCCAACTCTGGAAATCTTAGTTCTGCTATTCAGATTCTACAATTGGCGTTATAGTACTTTTATCTGTTTACTTTTGTTATTTCTAGTATACTTCATATAAGTGTGAGCATTAGACATTAGTCTTCTCTTTATGTCTTATTTTACTTAATTCAACATCTTCCAATTCTATTCATGTTGAAAATGAAAAAAATAATGCTTTCTTGTAGAAGTCTCCTATTGTGTCCAAGAGATATGTTATAGCAGGGAGAGCATTTGCCTAGTATCCGGTGCCTCATGTCCCCCGAGCCTCACCAGAAGTGACCCTTGAACTCAGAGCAGGAGTAAGCCCTGCTTACTTCCAGGTGTGGCCAAAAAAGCAAAAACAAAGCAAAATGAAGTTTTCTGCTGTGTACATATGACACATCCTTTCTATCTTGTTGTCTGGTCCCCTATTTTAGGGCATGATTTTGTTTTGTGTGTTTGTTTGCTGTTTGATTGGTTTGGGGCCACACCTGACAGTCAGGGATCATTTCTTCCAAGGGACCATATGTGGTTCTAAGGATCAGCTGCATGCAAGGCAGGTGCTCTATCTACTATACTATCTTTTGGGACCCTATGAGAGTTTTTTTTTTAAGTCTTTTTACTTTTTACTTGTTTTTAGTTTACAATAGTTTACTTCGAAATATTAAATCATGCTGAAGAACGTATGTGTGATTTGTAAATTATCTAGTGATAATACAGTGAAAGTGTTTGGAACATTCTCAAATCCCTTTAAATATTTGAACAGAAATCACGTTTATAGAAGCTTCAGACACACAGCATCACAATTTGACCCTATCTAAAGCCTAGTTTTCTAAAAGCATTATAAACTACTTTTAACCCAATTTTCCTATCTCGCTGCCTTTCTGGTGCCCCACATTTTGTTTCTTAAATCTAAGAGTTTTTCTTTTGATTTTGTTTTAGTTTTTTTAGGCCGCATCTAACAATTCTGTAGGGACTCTGTGGTGCCTGAAACTAAGCTATCTCTCTGCCCCTTCGTTTTGATTTTAAGCTTCCAGTGTGCAGTTTTTAACTTTATCTATATATACCACACGTAATGATCAACTCTGAAAGTCCAGTTTCTTTCAGTCTCATATAATTAACTCTCTTTATCTTTCATACTTGCCCATAATCCCCTTGCCCATTTGGTAACTACCATTAAGCTGTCAGGACCAGAATCTTAGAGTATTTGTCTCTTTCTTACTTCATTTATTATAATCCCCTCAAGGTCCATATACACTGTTGCAGATGACAAGAATTTGTCTTTTCTTACTGCGGAGCAGTATTCCAAAATTGTGGATATGTATTGCATCTCCTTCATCTGATAATCATTAATTTTGGGACACTTGGGTTGTTTCCATATGTGGACTATTGTGACTCGTATCACAGTGAATATAGAGTGCATTTTGAATTAGTGTTTTACAATCACGATCATCCTATTATTGATCAATTGCCTTGAGCAGGCCCCAGTAACGTCTCCTTCTTCCTAGCCCAGAGATTTTAAAAAGTGCCATATTCAAGGCTCTTTCAGGGTTAGGAGAATGAGACCCATCATTGTTACTGGTATTTGGCATATTGGGTACACCACGGGGAGCTTGCCAGACTCTGCCTTGTGGGCAAGTTACATTTGGTAGCCTGCCAGGTTGTCCAAAGTAAGAATGAGATAATAAGATATCGTGCGTCCGGGAGCTGGGTTTTATAGTGTTAGTGTTAGGTTTTATAGAATTAGTGTTTATTTTCGATAAATACCCAGAAAATTTTAAAAGATTCATCATATTTCTATTTTTATGTTCCTTTCATTCTTCTTTAAAAATAAATCTCAGTATTGTTTTATGTAACAGTTGCGCCAATTTATATTTCCAGCTAACAGTATACATTCATTCCATTTTCTCTGCTTTTTGTCAATGCTTGTTACTGGTCTTTTTGATAAATCATTCTAACCAGTATGACGTATTTTCATTTGTGGTTATTTTATTGTGGTTTTGATGTACATTTCTCTAATAATAAATGTTGAGAAACATCTTCTCATTGGTCTCTTGTCATCTGTTTCTCTGGTGAAATGTCTATTTAGTGATATTTTTGCCTACCTTAATCTAGAAAAAATAAATGCTACGTAAAAGCGTGTTTACTTATAATTACAACAAAAAGAGACAAGAAAGAAAAAATTTTGACTGGCAATCTCACTGATTCTTATTTGTTTCATATAATTTTAAAAATTATACAATAACTTTTTTCTAGACATCAATATTCACACCAGCCTTTGGATCAGAGACTAAAGTCAGAATAAATAGTTGCATGACTACGGAGGAAGTAATAAAGCAACTTCTCAAAAAATTCAAGGTAATCTTTGTCACTAAGCAGTTCATTGCATCTTGTGTATAATTTAACTGTAGACACTTAAATAAACGCAGACTTTTGAAGAAAAAGTATGTATAAATCTATGTATTAATTTTGAAAAAAAATTTCCTATTTGTAATACTTTTCCATAATTATGTCCTGAAAAAATTACGTAATTCCTGGGGATCAGAGAAGGTTTTCTATTTAAGAATAAAATTTGGAAATGAGGAATGTACAATATTGGGTCAGGTTGTCTTAGAATTTTTAAATATGCTCATTTTTTTCCATTGACAGATTGAAAATAGTGCCCAAGATTTTGCACTGTATGTTATTTTTTCAACAGGAGGTAAGAGACTTTAATCATATTTTTATATTATTCAAGTTTTAATCCCGTACCCAAGGAAGAATAGTTTGCCTCATTCTGAAGAAAGGGAGGAAGGGGTTGAAGAGCACTGTAAAGGAGCATGTGTTAGAAGAACCAAGAATAAAGCATCCTACTCCAGGTGGGAAAGGGTGCCATGCCTTCGCCTATTCCCACTGGCGGCCTAGTTGCCACCATCTTCCAGAGCCCATTGGACAGTCAGGTACGGGCCAGCAGTGACGAGACACGTGGGGTCTCACAGAATAGGGGTGGAGCTGGTCCTTCTCCTCCCTCGCCCCAATGAGACCCCAAGATGCCGCCCACGAACGGCCCCTCCAGCTGCTTCTTAAGCTCCTTAACAATCATGATCCCAGAGATACACTAACAAATCTCGGAACCCAGAGGCTTTTGGCAGAAATATCTCCAGACTTAAATTATTAACATTTCAGAATTCCAAGATCACATGGCCACAATAGCAACTGCACGACATCATGTGCTATTCATAATCAGCAATAAAAAACAAATTGTCCAATTTGCTTTTTTGGCGGGTCTGAGCGTTGGGGGAAAATTCCAAATAATAATGGTGGGACTGTGTCAAAATATTGAATGTAATCAAAGTAGAGAGAGAGTAATGTGGAAATTATCTGGCACACAGGTAGGGGGGAGGGGGGAGGATGGGGTGTATACTGGGGGTTTTGGTGGTGGGAAAAGTGCACTGGTGAAGGGATGGGTATTTGATTATTGTATGACCGAGACTTAAACCTGAAAGCTTTCTAATTGTTCTCATGGTGATTCAAAAAACAAATTTATAAGAATTGAAAAAAAAAAGAGCGATAGCACAGCGGGTAGGGCGTTCACCTTACAAGCGGCCAACATGGCCGACCCGAGTTCGATTCCTCCGCCCCTCTCGGAGAGCCTGGCAAGCTACCGAGAGTATCTCGCCCGCACGGCAGGGCCTGGCAAGCTCCCCGTGACGTATTCGATATGCCAGACACAGTAACAACAAAGTCTCCAATGGAGACGTTACTGGGCCCGCTCGAGCAAATCGATGATCAACGGAGGGCCTTTACCTTTACCTTTACCTTTATGAGTTTCCAAACTCTCAGTTCAAGAACAGAGTGCTACTGATATTCCAAAGAGACATGAATATTTCTAACTTGGTTGGTCTAAAAAGATTTTTGTGTTAAACTACATTTCTATAGAGCAATTGTGATCAACATATGCTTTTATATGAAGTCAGCAGAAACCCTACGTAATAAAAGAATATTAAACATTGTAGCACTGTAGCACTGTCCTCCAGTTGTTCATTGATTTGCTCAAGCGGGCACCAGTAACATCTCAGAACAAATTGTGAGACTTATTACTGTTGGCCGCTTGCAAGGCAAACGCCCTACCTGCTGTGCTATATTTTTATTTATTTATTTTTAATTTATTTATTTTTATTGAATCACGAGCTTCCATATGACCCAGCAAAAACTCTTCTGGAAATAAACCCTGGGGGCACAAACACACAGCAGAAACACCATCTGCACTTCTGGGTTCACTGCAGGGCTATTCTCAGTAGCCAGAACCTGGAAACAACCAGGGAAGGGAAACATTCTTTACATTCTCAACAACCCTGCCCAGTAGAGTTTGCTGGTATTTAATTTTTTAATTCTTTTGGGCCAGTTTCACAGGGAGTGACAAATTAGAATAAAATCTGGACCAACTTAAATAAAAGTTTTGGATATCCCCATACTGAACATGTTTAAATGTACATTTGTAGGAAAGTCACATACCGGCAAAACCAAGTTATATTATTTGTAACACAGAAAGCCAAACACTGTCAGTAAAGTGGTTTTTGTTAAGATAATTAATTTTGAGAAGCACCAACCTGGGAAAATAGCAAGGTCTTAATTCAATGAATTATCTCCCCAAATTCAGGATGAGAGATTCAAAAGGATGTGGAGAGTATGAGGATGAGGGTTATGGAGTGAGAGATCCATCTAAGTAAAGTAAAGTAAAGGCCCTCCCGTTGATCACCGATTTGCTCGAGCGGGCCCAGTAACGTCTCCATTGGAGACTTTGTTGTTACTGTGTCTGGCATATCGAATACTCTCGGTAGCTTGCCGGGCTATTCCCAGTAAAACTTCCTTCAAGTCATCTTGACCAGTGGTTTTAATATTCTCATTTATTTGGAATAAACAAGATTACTGATGCTATCAGTTCCAGAAACCTATATAGGGGCCTTGAAAAAAATTAAGAAAAATAACAGACTGCCTGCACCACTGGGTTATCTGATGATTATATGTCAAAGAGATTATGCTCAATAAAATTAGTGTAAAAAACGTTGGCTTTTTCTGGCTTCAGGGAAGGGGCAGCAAAATGCCAAGTCCTAGTGAGCTAGTCTCCAAAATTCCCTTAACAGATTATTTGAATAAGAATTTGAATAAAATATATAGCACTGTAGCACTGTCGTCTCATTGTTCATCGATTTGCTTGAGCAGGCACCAGAAACGTCTCCACTGTGAGACTTGTTGTTACTGTTTTTGGCATATTGAATACGCCACGGGGAGCTTGCCAGGCTCTGCGGGATACTCTCAGTAGCTTGCTGGGCTCTTTGAGAGGGATGGAGGAATTGAACCTGGGTTGGCCGCATGCAAGGCAGACGCCCTACCCTCTGTGCTATAACTCCATAAATAAATAAGATAAATGAACAAAATTAATGAATACCTTGTTGGTCTAGGTTTGATGCAAGAGCAACAATAAGAAATGAAAACTGGATTCCAAACATATTTAAAATTAACATACTTGTAAAGTGAAAGTTTAAAGGGCCACGACAAAAGCACTTAGCTTGCATGTGGCTGCCCCCACTCAATGCCCATTCCACACCATATAGGGATCTCTGAGCACTGCATGTGTCATTCCCCAGCACAGAGCCATGAGTGGTCTCTCAGCACCACGAGGTATGGCTCAAAAAATAAGATAAAACCTTAAATAAAAGCTATGTATATATCACATATAATACATGCAATACACACCTGTGGCTACAAAAAGTTAGATATAATAGATATATATATATGAAAGATTAATACCTCCAATAACAAAGTGTTCTTGCATAATACCTAAAGATCAAAAATAAAAATAGAAAGATTGAAAAATTTTAAAATAACAAATTAAGATAGTAAACATTTTTAGGAAAACTTAAATTTAAGGACATGAAGCAGTCAGGGAAGCAGATGGAAGAAAAGTCACAATTCAGTATTATCTCACAATTATATTGGCAAAAAAATTAGAAATAATTCTACTGATGCATATTATAGATAAGAGTTAAAGGGTATTTTCCTTTAATAATACATAAATACATGATTGTCTTTACTTTTTTTTTGTAATTCATTGTAATGATATTTATAATAATTTAAAAGAATACAGCTACTTTAACCCAGCAATTCTGCTGGTAAGATTCTATTTCCAAAAAATAAACTAAAATGTTCAAATCTTTCTGCAAGACTATTTACAACAAACTAAAAGCAAAGTCACCAGCCTAGAGGAATGACTAAATAATGGTTATTACGATGTCACTAAATGTAATGAGTTAGATTTATACCAATTGGAGGAAATTCTGTAATAATAAACATTTTAAGTGAAAAATGCAAGTTTGATTAAATTGTGTTTAATATAGTTCATTTTTTAAAGAACTATAAATTCCTTTTTAAATGTGTTGTGTAGATTTATACAATCAGGGAGACATGTACAGAATGATAAATATCAAGCCATTAATATGAATTAGTGGGTTTGTAATATAGAAAAGTAAACAGGAATGAAGAGCAATACAGAAACCTAGTAGAATAAAATAAATAAGTTATGATTTTTTAATATGGTGTATTTACAATTAAAAATGGATATATTAGTTCCTTTATACACCAAGTTTGTGGTGGTGCATAAAGATATGTTTGATAGGATGCTGCTTAGAGGATAATGCTGATTTTTCTCAGAGCAAGGGATTCCAATTCTACTAGTTATAGTTTCTGCCTTGTATTTTTTCTTCATTGTTTTTATTGTAATAGTATTTGTGCTTAAAATAAAAATTTATTGAGGGCTAATTAAAATATATAGTTGTGCATGCTTAAAGTATACAATGTGATGATTTGCTACATTTATATATAGTGCAATCAAGGTAATTAACAGATCCATCTCCTCACATAATTAACTTTCTCTTGCAGTGAGAAGCTTAATACCTACTATTAGCAACTTTAAAATATATTAGCAATTTTTAAATGTAAAATACCATGTCTTTAGTTATAGTCAGTGTGCTATTCAAAATGTATTCCTCTTCAGCTTTTTATAATTTATTCCTCTCATACCTAAAAATGTGTACCCTTTAATCTATATCACTCCACTTCCTTCCCCCATAACATGCACAATTTTATGATCAGAAAAGGTACATTTTCACAATAAAAATGTACTTTAAAAATTATCCATGAAAATCATTTCATATTGAACCTTTTGTACCAAAATCTTTTATACATGAAGTTCATAACTGAAGATAATCATAACTAGAACCTTTAGGAACCAGTATGAAAGGAAATTAAAGGAACAGTTTAGTACTTTGATTTAATAGAGCACCAGTTCTGGGCAATAATATGGAAAATAAAAACAGGTAGATTTTAGCATCTGTAACTGCTAAATCCATGGCCTGTATAAGTGTGTCTCAAATTATTGTGCACTTCAGAATTACCTGGAAAATGAATTTAAATGCCAGCCACTTCCAGATTGGGGAACAGTGTGAGACTTTGTATTTCTAATGATTATCCCAGATTACCATGGAACATAGCCATCATGCAAGAAAACTTTCTCTGTAATATCAAAAATGACTTGAACTAAAATGAAAAACCAGTTAACTTTAAAAGTAGAAGTAAAAAGAATATTATGTGGGTTAGTGACAGGCTGTAAATTAACAGGATAACTTCAGAAATGGTAGAGGAATTCTATCTGTGAACTCTGTATCTATGGAAACGGGGTAGATTAAGTCACTTTAATAAAGGAGAATCTGGACTTTTGTTTTCTAGTCACCTTTTAAACTTTTTTCCCCCGCCCAGGGACTAAGAACAGTTCTGACTTCTGGAACATCTAGAGCCCAGGGGAATTGTTTCATGAGTAAACAATGTAGAAAGGAATCAACTGGTCTACCCTTTCCCCTTGAGTCTATTTCAACATAGGACCCAGATTGTTTTTCAATGATATGAAAGCCAGACCAGGTCAGGCCTCTCAAATCCACTAGAGCCTTGCTTTTCAGTGTAAGGCCAGTCTTTACAAGGGCTTCATTCTCTGTCATTTACTATATTCACCAGGCCAGTTACCTTGGACCCTTGTTACACTTCGATTGAGTTAGTTCTGCACTGGCCCCAAGTATTTTATTTATTTTGCTTGAAAATTATATTATCCAGATCATTTCAGGTCTCTCTCTCATATCCTTGTGGTCTTCACTCAAATGTTAGTTATTCAGTAAGGTCTCTTCTAACTGTATAATTAATAGTTGCAAACTTTTCCCATGAGCACACATTTATATGCATATATATGTACATTATCACTATATTTTTCTTCTAAATACTTACTACTGACATTTATTGTTCATTATCTGTCTCCCACATCAAAATGTCAAAAAAAGTGATTCTACTCTGCTTTGCTCTATAATGAATTTTTGTTCAATAGTGCCTAGAACATAATAGGAACTCAAAAATATTTTAGGAAGGAAGAAGTAAGAGGATTTGATTCCTTCTTCACTCTGATAAAAACTGAAATCACACATGACAATCACGTTTGATTGTCACACATGATAATCAAACTTGAAGTGCTTTTTGTGGTAGGAGTATTTATATTATAAAAATATAAATAATTGAAATTCTGGGAATATACCAAATTGGAAAACTTTTTTAAAAAATCTAATTCTATGACTAAGTGATTAAATACCACAGATAAATGAAATAGTAAAAATAATGGTCTTTAAAAAACACTTTGAATTTATATTTTAAGGAAGAATCTTAGGATATTCAATAAAAGAAGAAAGAACTAAAGATAATTACAAATTTTAAACTGAATCAGCTTAAAAGAGAGAATTCTGTTGGAACTAGAGAGATAGTACAGAGGATAGGACACTTACCTTACATGCAGCCAACCTGGATTCAATCCCAAGCATTCCTTATGGTTCTCTGAGCACCATAAGGAGTAATTCCTGAATGCAGAGCCAGGACTAACCTCTGAGTATCACCAGGTGTGTCCCATCACTCTTCAACCCCCTGCCCCCCAAAAAAGCAAAATTAGGGGGAAAATATTATTCTGTGAACTGAAATAGTAAAAATCCATAGGCTGGAGACTTGTTTGAATATCTTGAAGGTGAAATTCAGCAAGATATAAAGTCAAGTCTTATAGCAAACAAAAGAATTGCCTATTTACTTCATTTAAACAATTTAATCCTATTTTACTTTTTAAAGTGAATGCATCTGGGTTTTGTTTTCATTTTGATTCTTTAGGTTTTCTTCCAGATTGCACTAAAGAAAGAAAATAAATGTATAAATTATTTTTCTTCCTGTCTCTAAGATGAGCTTCTAACTATAATTTATTCTTGTTTTTATTTGCAGAGCAGAAACGACTAAAGAAGACAGACATACCGCTATTACACAGGCTTATACAGGGACCTTCCAAAATGAATGCTCGCATTTTCCTCATGGATAAAGACACAGAAGAAATTAGCAGTGATGTATGGATACCATCACCCTGAATATGGTCTTTGCTCCTTCCTGACTCATCACCTCTCACATAAATTGTTCTTCTTTCTTTTTCCTCTTTCCCTTTTCAGGTTGCTCAGTATATTAACTTTCATTTTTCTCTCCTGGAATCCATCCTTCAGAGATTAAATGAAGAAGAGACAAGAGAGATTGAAAGAACAAAATCAAAGTAAGTAGAAAGCATTTACTCTGAATTCCTCATCTTTTAATGCACAAGTGTGCCCCATTTTTAATACCCTATTTCTTTTCTTATTTTCAGATTCAAAAAAGAAAAGTCTTGCATACTGAATTATATTAAAAGTAAACGGATAGTAAAAACAGAGACAACAGTTTAGTTGTATGGGTCACTATTGTTAAAGCCTATTAGAATTAGAGAGTTGTTACTATTGATGAGAGGAATAAATTCTTTATTTCCATTTATACAAATGTATATGTAAAGTTGAATCTATAAAAAATGCAAAAAAGCAAAAACTTGTTTCTCTTTGAAGTGATAAAGTTAAGGTTCACAGTTGGACTGAAATGAGCAGGAATTTAGTTCAGTAACTGAAAAAAACTTGGATACTGTGTATTCCAAATAGAATTTTTTAGTAATGAATTTAAATGTCATCTTCAGATATCATGAAGTTTAAATTTCTTTTAACTTGAACTGTCAAGAGAACTGAAATAATATCAGCCATCTCTCAGAAATTTTTCAGAAAAAAGCTGCCAAGTCTTGAAATAAAAAGTACATCTCATCTCACTAAGAATTTGATGATGACAAGTTTTTCGCAGCTCCTTGAAAACTCTGGCATTTTTATAAATCTAGGGCTATCTTTGCCTGGATAGGAGACTATTGGCTATCCATAATGTCAGAGATATCTGCTCTTTGGGATGAAATAGATAATATTCTTTAAAAAATCAAACTGGAATTTTTTCAGTTTGAATCCCATTTTTATCATGAGTATTCATAAGAGTTATCTAATTTTAGTTTTTTTTGCTTATTTGTTTATGGGTTGAGCTGTTTTTTCTCCCCAACAAATACACCACAGAGATCATCAATTTTATCAACTACAACAAGACTTAACCCATAGTAACTCTTGCTACTGAATTATTACAAAAGATAATGCAAAACTATTGTAGCAAAAACTAGGCAAGAAATCCAGAGCTTGATCTTTTTCTGCAGGAAAATTCATTCTACAGTTCTCAAGATACTTAGAAGTCTACTATCAAATTTGAAAAATAAAAACACTAAGAATGCCACAAGGGTATATTATTTTACTTGCAAGTTCTTTATTAAAATAGTTTTATGCAAAATTTTAATTCTCTTTTTGAATTCTTAAATGTGTGATATTAAGTTGATTATTAAGTCATAAGGTTATATATAATAAACCAATTTAGAAGACTATTTAAAATTAAGATAACACATTTTTATTTACATTATATTTGTATAAATGCAAATAAAATTAAAAGAGGGCTTTCCACGTGCTCAGGCCGAACCTCACATACGAATGAACACATCATGGGATACTCCCTACCCATTTTCCATGATTACCACACCATATTTGATGGGGGGAGGCTCAGACAGTAGGCAACAAATTATAGATGGATATATATATATATACACACACACACACACACACACACACACACACACACACACCTCGGAGAGCCCAGCAAGCTACCTACTGAGAGTATTCTGCCCTCACAGCAGAGTCTGGCAAGCTACCCATGACGTATTCGATATGCCAAAAACAGTAACAATAACAGGTCTCATTCCCCTGACCCTGAAAGAGCCTCCAATATGGCAGCATTGGGAAAGACAAGTAAAGAGAGACTGCTAAAATCTCAAGGCTGGGACGAATGGAGACATTACTGGCACCCACTTGATTAAATCGATGAATAAAGGGATGACAGTGATACAGTAACAGCAATTTAATATTAAAATGTAAACTCTACTTATGACAATGGTATTACTTTTCCATACCATCAAAATCAAAACTGGATCAAAGTGAAATATAGTATGTCATGATCCTTTCAACCCTAGAAAATGTATCCTACTGAGTAAAACATGCTTGCATCTTTATTCTTCAATTATCAAGTAATAGAGTGTCATCTTGTTAAAATACAACAAATGAACTAGCTAAAATTCAGCATACCTATAGAAATTAAAAGTAGTCTATATGTATTCCATAAGCATATTAATCTGTAATATGTTGAAAGTTTACATAGTACATAAGAAAACTACCAAGATTTGAGGGGAAAAAATTAAAACCAAATGGCATGAAAATAAAATCACAGAAGAAATAAAAAAGCTACAAAGTTGAGGGTTGGGATGTCTTAACACTAATCAACTGCATTGATCTGTGTTCAGTCAGGCGACAGAAACCTCGGAGTAATTGAAACAGGAAATTTAATAAAAGGCATAATAAGGTTGTGATAGAAGAATACTTTGAAAGATAGAAAGAGACATCTAAAGAGTGAAAGGTTATATCCCAAGAGTAAAACCTTGGGATGAAGTTTTAGAAGTTTTAGAGAAGGTGTGGCTGTGGCCCAGTGAAAGGAGTTTTCCTGGGAGTTGCTGAGCAAACAGGACAACCTCTAGGGTGTGAACTGAGGCAGGTGTGCAGGAGAGACTCATGCTTTGCATCAGATGGAAGGTCCATATTTCAGTGTCTGTCTAGAGGTTCCAGGAAATAAAGGGGACACAGAATAGCCAAGGCTGGAGAGTGGGCACAAAGATGGACTAGGAGCGGAGGGACTTCATTTGTTGGAACCAGTTCTTTGTAGCTTCTTAACTGTGTCAGCTTGGAGACTGTGGGACAAAGGTTGAGCCAATGACGCTGAGTTGAGAAAGTCAGTACAGCAGTCATTTGATTTAGGGCACAGGTCTGCACTGGGCATTAGGGTCTTGCCTTCACAAGTCAAATTAAAAGTCGAAGAAGGGGGATAAGGGCCAAATCCGAGAGGAAACTGCATTTCACAGGCAAGTAACTCTGGAGAGAACACTCTGAGCTAAGCAGTGAAGACAAAAGTCAGCTTGCCAGAGGCTTGGCCAGCTAGCACCTCTAGCATAGGGAAAGAATGAAAGAATGTCTTCCTGTGATGTGTCTCCAGCACCCTCTACCAACAGAGCATGATATCACAAGCTGCGAAGGAAATCCATTTTCACTCAGTAACAAAAAGTGAATTTGGAGCCAAGGCAATTAAGTAGCTGGCATGTCAACAGAACACATCAAGTGAAATGCAGTTTTCTTTATCAAATTATAAAATATTAATAAAAATTGCATTAAATAATCTAATTACAATGAGATGGGCAGCCAAATTACAAACATACAATCTACAAACATACTACAAATAATACAAATGAATATAACTTCTTGAAAAAAATTAGTATGTAGAAAAACAACACTATTATGAAAATATATTTATTGTGTTGCTACTGTTCTTAACATAATGTTAATTCTTTTTTTCCCTATTTCCTTATAGGGTAAATGTTCAAACATAAAAAATTTTTAAATGTTAACAGAGAAAGAAAAAACATTTACCCAAAAGATGTTATGTTACTATCAAAATGTTTCCAAAAATGTAGTCACAGGAGTAAAATTTTTTTATATATAAAAATCTCAAATTTTCAAAATAGTTCTTCAAAAAATGTTTTATCTGTGTGTATATGCCAACATTTATACATATATGCTCAAAAACAAAAAATATTGCTAAATATAGATACATCTGGATGTTAAAATTAAGGGTGATTTTTTTTATGTTTAGGAAATGTTCATAAATTAGGCATAATTACATGTCAGAAGCATTTTTATCTGAAGAAGTTAATTCTAACAAATTCTCATTAGCATGATACATTCTCCAAATAGCTTTTGATTTCTCTAATTTGGGAAGAAATCTAAAAAACCTCTAAGAGGAAAGAGAAGGAAGGGGAAAATATTTGGGCTTCTCCACCATTAAGCTTTTCTAGTAGGCGAAGTGTGGGGAAAAAACAGAATCGAGTAGAAGATTGAGTATTCATTCTATCTCTCTCATCTGTGGGATCTAAAAGCACACAGAGAAGAAGTAGCAAATGGCCAAAGATCGCAGAACTGAAGAACGACTCTACAGAAAACAGAACTGAGGTGTGTGAGGGCGATGGGGCCAGTGAGTGAGGGAACTCTGGTGAAGGATGTGGTGTAGAAGCATTGTGTGCACAAAACCCTACCATGAACAGTATTGCAAATTAAATTTAAAAGTAACTAGTTCATATAGTATTCATACTTTCCTACTCAAGAGCAAAAACACCTTAACAAAGTTCCCTTGGAAATTTATAGGCTGCTACCTATGTGACTGTGGATTTTGTTCAGATAGAAACAGATATTCGAAATGCATTACAAACCGTTTTGAAAAAAACATGAAATAAATAAGTAAGTTCTAATAAAGATGATTAGTTCCATCATGGATAGTCTCACAGTCAGCAAACTTATTTGGGGTGTGGGAAGTATTTGGCCTATACTGTGGGGGAGATGCTCAGGGCTGGGAATGATCCCTCACTGTGCCTGTGGAACCAGGGATGGAATCAGCTGCATAAATTAACCCCTGTACTATCTCTGCCCCCAGGCAAACTTATTCTATGAATGACTGGATAGTAAATAAATACTGGGTTCTAAGGTTTATAAACCTATGAAGATTCAATTCTGTACTTAATCCTGTGCTCAATCTTCTAGTCGATTCAGTAACCGATTTAATGTCCAAATAAAGGAGTGAGATTATGTGTTAGTAAAATCTGATTTACAAGGAACCGGAGTAAGGTGCTTGCTTTGCATGTGGCCAAACTGGGATTGATCCTGGCAGCCCATGTGGTGCTCCAGCCTCACTAGGACTGATCCCAGAGTGCAGAGCCAGAAGTAAGCCCTCAGCACCACCTGGTGTGGCCAAAAAAAAAACCCCATTTATTTATTAGCTATAAGTGGGTTAGATTTAGTCTCTTAAGGCTTTGTTTTCCTGTCCTTGACTAAACTATAGATTACTAATTTAACATAGCCTTAGACAGTGTAGTTGAATAGGTAAAAAAGGAGCACTTTGAAGGGAATTAAGGTATTCTTGAGAATAACTTGTGAATAAATTTCCCAGAGCCATTGCTAACCTTGATCCCTATCCTGACCAGCCTGAGGCTGTTTTAACTGGAAAGGCTGCCTTACTAGTTGACTAACTGCTGAAATTTCTTTACTCAGGCACTGTTATCTACAGTACCTGAGTTTCTGCTCTTCCTGACTCTGTCCATGGGCAGTAATTCCCGGGTCCCCTCTATGATGATATACAAATTTTCTGTGCCATATTCTACCATTAGAGCCATAGCAATTTATTTCACACA